CTTTTTAAAATTTTCAATAACTACTTGATTAGAAGAAGTATTTCATTACAGCTTTAACATATTCAGTAACATACTCCAGAGCAAGGGTACATCTCTTTCAAAACTGGCTGTAAAATTTTAGGTTCACAGTTTAATTAATACAATTATACAATATTGAAGTCACTATAAACCCTGTAAGATATAAAATTGAATGAGTTTTTACCCTTTAAAGAAGATCTCCATTTCATTTTAAAATATGCTGTTTCCTACATTTTTTAATATTATTTTTTTAGAAGAAGCATATCATTACAGCTTTAACATATTCAGTAACATACTCCAGAGCAAGGGTACATCTCTTTCAAAACTGGCTGTAAAATTTTAGGTTCACAGTTTAATTAATACAATTATACAATATTGAACTCAGTATAAGCCCTGTAAGACATAAAATTGAATGAGTTTTTAACCTCTAAAAAAGATCTCCATTTTATTTTAAAATGTACTGTTTCTTACAGAAGGACTCATTGTTTTTGCTACTAACACTGAGATGTTGGCACATGCATCTCTAATCTGTATGTATCTGATTATTACTAGTCATAATCGGTTGCACTCAGATCCTTGGCCCCCATGTATATCTATAAAGTCATCGGGTAGATTTCAGTGGTAATGTTTATCACCTCTACTAATTAACATGACGTAGATTTTTATGCTTCCTCCTCAAATATAATACATTTTTTAAAAATTTGCTGACTTTTGTGTGTGTGTGTGTGTGTGTGTGTGTGTGTATCACACAGAATATCCCAAACCATCATAAGAACCCACCTGTAAATGTTCACATGGTAATCGTGATTATTACATGACTGAAGTGAAGTAGCACATGCTACGCAGATGTGAATGTTCTTTAAGTTATAAGGTAATACAAATGCTAGTTTCTTTCCTTAATACATTGATAGTTTTGAAATTTAAAATACATCAGAAGTCTTTTTCTTCGTGCTACCTGTAGCTGGTCCTTGATGTTTTTGATGTCAAAGCAGAGCCCTGGAGATGATAAATAAGGCTCCCATTGATCATGCATTTTCTGTCTTAAAATTGACAGAGGCACAGGTTGTGGTAGTGCAAGTCTGTAACTACACTTGGGAGGTAAAGGCAGGAAAATCATGAGTTTAAGCCAATCTGGGCTATATAATGAGTTCAAGACCCACCTGAGCTACATAGGGAAAAAAGGACGTGGGATGTAACTCAGTGGTAGAGTGCAAAGCCCTGTACTGCATCTCCATCGCCATTTAAAAAATAAAATAAAATCAGCTATAGCAACATCTGGTAGATGCTACAAATTCCATCAAATCATTTAAAAATCTTTTGTCCATGCCATTCCTGGGAAAAAAAAATGCCTTTTAAGTGTTTGCAAGACTAGGACTATGTAAGATATGTATTGGTTGATTTTTAGTTCAGATTTTTACGTGCCATATCCTGCAGAAAGCTCATGTATCTTACATTGTCACAGCCTTTCTGTTGCCCTTGCCTGTTCTGCACATTACTTCAGTACAGAAATTGCATGAGTTTCTGGGTGCTCTCTTTTTGTTCATTTCCAGAGCACAATCATTGTGGAGAAGACAGTGCAAGACCTCATGAACCTGATGCATGACCTGAGCGCATATTCGGATCAGTTCCTCAACATGGTGTGTGTGAAGCTCCAGGAGTACAAGGACACCTGCTCTGCAGCCTACAGGTGAGCTCATTGAGGCCAAGGTGGCTCTATCTTTATGCTCCTGAATTTGTGGAGGGGCCTGATGAGAACGAGCACCCCAGAAACAGTCTCTTAGATCCTTGCATAGTCACAATGACAAAGAGAATTAAAGGAACAAAGGAACAGACACTGAAGACTGCCCTATGACCCAGTCAAAGTGTCAGCCTTGATTTTCATAGAAACTTAAAGAGGATTTGTCTTCCTCGAGGAAATTTCAGATCTTGATTAGTCCACTTGGTAAGTGAAAAGATCCTGACAAAAGAGCAATTTAAAACCCTTAAAAATCTGTTATATAAAGTATTTCTTTCTTATTCTAACAAATATGTCCCCACTAGTGTTGACCTGAAGCCTTCCTACTGCCACAGAAAGACAGTTACAGCAGTTTCAGCATCAGTGAAGTGAAAATCCAGCGTTATACATTTGAAATCCGTTAGTCAGACCTCAGATTTCCTCTCTGGATTCAAAAATCATTCTGGGCTCATAGAAAAGATCATAGCACTTCACATAGAAAAATAATAATAGGAACAAATTATGGTTGGTTGACAAGATGCGAAACAATTACAGAAGAAAAGAATGTACAATATACTAAATAAAATGTGGTGTGTAATCAAGGATAGAGAGGTGCAGTACAGTGCATAATCATAATCTGCGTGATATAGACTGTAAGGGCAGAAAAGATAAAACACAGAGAAAAGTGCTTACAGTCAGCAGTGACTGCAAAGATGAGGTGTATATTGGATAAATGACATTTATGGGGGTAGAGAACATAATAAAAGAATTGCAGGAGTGGAGAAGGCACGCCAGCAGGGGGGAGATAGTGGGGATTATGGCACAGGAGAGTGACACCAACAGAGGGTCGGAGGGAATAAGACTTGGACATTTAGGTGTTGCGTAGGTGGTAATGAGTCATTCTACATGAGCCAGGAAGCAAAGTTTAGGAAAATTAACTGAAAGAGTAACACAACATAGATGAATGCTAACCTCCTTCATTCCAGCAGTATTATTAATCCAGTTAATTAATCAGTTAATCAGTTAATTAAAAGAAACCCAAGCTGGGAGTGGTGGCACACGCCTTTATTCCCAGCACTGAGGAGGCAGAGACAGGTGGAACTTTGTAAGGTCAAGGCCAGCCTTGTCTACATAGTGAGTTCCAGATCAGCTAGGGCTACAGGGAGACAGTCTCAAAAAGAAAACTGTAAAAGAAACCCTAGCTCTCATTGAGATATGCTTCCAATAATATTTTACTTTTGGTGTTCATCAAAAATGTTAATGTATATAGATTGCAATCATATGCCAGCAATATTGTTGCAGTTGTGTACTAAATAATTGTAACAGTAATTAAAAAATGTTAAATTCAATTATTGTAGTAATATAAAACCTAAATTCCTATTTTTAAATTTGAATGTATACAAATTTGCTTTGCAGAAAATTACAACAAAATAATCAAATGTTTTCAAGCATAAAAATGTGCTCCATTACAATAAAACTCAGTGAGAAGTAAAATACAAACAGTATTCAAAGAGAGAAAGGAAAAGTGTGCAACCATCTTAAAAGAAGCACTTTTTGTATGTATTATAACTAGGCAATGGAGGTTAGCAAATCTGTGAAGCTGAGGTTGCATTAAGTACATTTTTATTTTTACTTGAAAAATAATCATTGGATCTATTTGTAGGATACGATGTTTTGATGTTTGAACATATCATGAAATGGTTAGATAAATTTGATTGACATATCAACTACCCCAAATACCTTCTTTTAATGTGTGTGATGTGAACATTTAAAATATACTCTTAGCAAATTTTCACTTTGTTTTGTTTGTTTTTATTTGTTTGTTTGTTTGTTGACACAGGGTCTCCTTGTAGCCCCAGCTTACCTGGAAATTGCTTTGTAGAACAGGCTGGCCTCTATCTCACAGAGCTCCAAGTACTCCTGCCTCCCAAGTGCTAGGATTAAAAGTGAGTGCTGCCATGCCTGGCCTAGCAATTTTTAAATGCATGTTATAGTAAATGGAAACTTGGTGCCCTTGATCTCCTCTTCCCACCCCACATCCAACCCCCAGCAACCATATTTATACTCTCGACTTCTCTAGATTTTACTTTTTTTGATTCTGCATCTAAGTGAGATCATATGGCATTTCTGTGCCTGGCTATGGACTCAAATTAGACTACATTAAATTGAACAGGGGGGCAGTGAGGAAAGGTGGGAATAGGAGAGAGAATCTAAATACCATCAAATTATAGTGTATGAAAATCACAAAACTTCAACAAAAAGAAGAATACATTACTAAGGACAGGAAAGAATCTGGGCATGGTGGCGCATGCCTTTAATCCAAGCAGAGGCAGGCTGATCTCTGTGAGTTCAAGGCCAGCCTGGTCTACATAGGAAGTTCCAGGCCATCTAGGTCTACAGAGAGATCCTGTCTCCAAAAGAAAAAAAAAAAAAAAACAAGAAAGAATTTGAGAAAGATGTGAACTGGGCTTGGGCTTGATGAAAATGAAGCAAATTTGGACAGGAAGCTTTACAAGGGGAAGGAAGGAACCAGAATGACATCCAGGAAGTGAGCCAAAGTAAAAGGGAAAAACAAGTGAATCAGTGTCTGGGTTTGCAAAGGAAAGCTGGGTTAAACTGCAGGATCTTGACTTTTGGGTGTGGGAACTGGGCATTTTAAAATTAGGAGGCAACGGGGCTGGAGAGATGGCTCAGTGGTTAAGAGCACTGACTGCTCTTACAGAGGACCCGGGTTCCAGCATCCACATGGTAGCTAACAACCGTCCTAATTCCAGTTCCAGAGGAATCCATCACCCTCTTCTGACCTCCATGGCATTGCACAACACTTAAACACTTAAACACATGCAGACAGTACACTCATACACATAAAATAAAAACAATATTTTAAAATTAGGTAGCAGGGAGCCACTGAAGTGTGAGAGCAGGGGGTGCCACGTGCAGACTTGCACTCAGTGGAGGCTTTTCTGGCTTTTGCTTAAGACAAATTGGAAGACAAGAGTGAAGAGAAAGAATGGAAAGAGAATAAGTAGTTGTCAGATAAGAGTGAGGAAAATGGGGGAAGGGACAGTTCAAGAGACATCTGAAAGGCAGAATTTGTAATATTATACTGCTGAGTGGCTAGAGAGAGTAAGGAAGTGAAATCATCATTATCATTTCAATTTGGGATGATTTTTTTAAACATAAATTCAAAATCTCACATTCACCCATTGAATATAATGTTATTTTTATCTCCTCATTTCAGTCTATTGAAATATTTTTGAATCCTCATTCTGTCATAAAAAAAAAAAATCTTGAGTTTTTCCTCTAACTTCCATGCCCCCTCCTTCATTTTAGAAGCAATCTTCTAGTTTCTTTATGGATATCATTGGGAGAACTTTCAACAGAACAAGGCTAAGTTAGAAATTTGGGGTGTACCCCTTGTGGGTGGACATGTATGTATTATATGGTATTCAGGAACACATTTGTCTTTCTAGCTAAGAGTCTGGTTTTGACTTAGGAGCAGGCCATCCAGCATGTTTGATTGTCAGCCCTACCTACTCATTACATGACCTTGAACAGCTGCACAGCCTCTCTACCCCAGCCTCCTCGTCTGCAAAAAGGGTAATGACCTTCTCCTCTAAGAGGGGTTTCTGAAGTGCCAGTCTTTTAGAACTGTTTTTAGCCAAATAGAATGTGCCACAAAATTAATCGGCTGCTCTTTGGATAACGATGATTGTGCTGAGGTTTCCTTTACTACCAACCATGACTCCCCCTATCTTTCAGCAGCTGCTATATCAGAGATGTTACCAGCTTTCTTATTAGTATCTTCCCACCCTAACCTTTTAGTTTTAGTTTTTATTGTGGTTTTTAAAATTTTTGTTTCTGTTTTTGAGAATTCCATACATGAGTACTGTCTTTGCATTGTTTCCATCCTTCCAACTTCACTCATGTCCCCCCAACACCTTCTCAATTTCTTGTCCTCTTCTTTGATTATTATTATATATATATGTACATATATAAAAATACATTAATACATTGAGTCCATTTAGTGGTGCTCATGTGTACCTGTGTTTAGGCTGTCCATTTGGGATTAGATAACCTTTCAGGAAGCTAGACCCTGGAGAAAACTGATTCTCCCTCTCTCAGCATCCACTGATTAGCTGTAGTTCTTCATCTTGAGGTGGGATCCCCTGACATTCCCTCCCATCCATTTTGGCAGTCAGATCTAGTAGACTGCTGTACTGTGGAGATTTCGTAGGTGCAGCTTCCCTATCATGTCGTGAATGCATTAACTAACAGCAGAGAGTCCTGTCCCTCTGGCTCTTATGTTCTTTCTGCCCCCTCTTCCGGGATGTTCCCTGAGCCTTAAGTGTAGAGGTTGCATTGTAGATGTGTCACTTAAGGCTAGGCATCTACAGTCGCTTATTCTCTGCATTTGACCAGTTGTGGAACTTTGTAATGATCTCCATCTATCGCAAAAAGAAGCTTCTTTGATAAGTGATGAGAAATATACTTGTCTGTAAATACGAAGATATAGGTTTAGAATACAGTAAGAAATTACATTGGTCTAAGGAAGTGACAAAAGTAGGTTTTTCTCTAGTGTCTATGAACTCTCCAGCCAAGTGTAGTTGGCTATGTTTCCAGTATCATGCATGAATTCTCTCCCATTGAGCAGACCTTAAGTTCAATCACATAGCTGTTGAATACCCTCAAGATAGAAGGCCACTACTGCAACAATAGAGCTAGTTGACTGGGCCAGTCATTGTTGTGATTCATAGAATTTACAGCTGGGTAGAATCACTGATTGCTTTTCTCCCTTGGCAGCTTAAATAGTATCTTCAGTACTATGAGAGCTGGTCCTCAGGGAGAAGGCTTCCAGGTCAGTTCCAGCTCGATTGCTCTAAGTCCTGTATCTGAAGTATGCTATGTCTTCAGCAGTAAGGTCTTACCTTCAAGTTCTGGAAGACAGTCAAGGACTGTGACAATAGCCTATA